GAAAATGAAAATGAAAATGAAATAAAAGACAATAATAGTAATAAAAAGCACGATTAGGGTTTTTAGATTAGGATTAGGGTTAGGGTAAGGGTTAGGGTTGTTAATGTTGTTTTCACGTTTTCGTGTTATTTGCTGATGACGCGCTTTTGTCGGCGCGCATTTGTCGGTGAATCCATTCTTGGTATCCAAGGCTGTATGGCTGAGCCCGCAGCTGACTGCATTTTCCTTCAAAAAGTCCATGCTGGGAGGGGCCAGCGTCTTTCAAGGAAACAGCAAAACCATTGTCTTTCTCAGTGTCCATCGTGCCTCATTGATTTTGTAGCCCACTCAGCACTTTCTTTGCTTTGTGAAAATGTATTTAGGAAGGGAGCTTTTTGCTTCCCCCACCACCCCCCAATCCCAATTTTTCTCAACTGTGCTCCCTTTTTCCCAGCTTGAGAAGGGCTGTGTAAGAAACAAAACCTGAGCAGAGCACAACTACTACTAGAAAGTTAACTCCTGTTATCTTGTTACACAGATGAGAACCCGAGGCAGCACGTTCCACTGGAGGAATATGCTGACAATTTGAAAAGTATGATAAGCTACCTCAACTCTGTGGACATATCCAAACGGGACATTATATTAGTGACCCCACCACCCCTCCATGAAGCTAGTTGGGAAAAAGAGTGTGTGGCTAAAGGTGAGGATTTTTTTCATTTCTATTTGAATAGAATTAGCAAACTTTCCTTGCACGATTTATTCCATGTTCTAGTTAAGTTATACCAGGAATGGAACGTTCGGCCTAGCCTTTTTCCATTAGTTCTGCCAAATTTGTCCTATTCGCCTCTTTTCTTTATTTTTTGCAAAATGAAATGACCGTTGGTATGTTTTATTTATTTCCATCTTAAAATTGGAACCAGAGTATACAACTGTATGAAAATAGCTTAAAAAAAACAAACGAAAACAACGTAGTAGCTCAAAATCATCTGCAGCGAAGCTATGAGGGCAAAATTTAGCTTCTAAGCTTTACTGGATGTGAAATTGTGATCAGCAAAGGGATTCTCTGTACTCAACAGTGGTTCTACGCTATACATATATTTATATTGAGTCTTGTCTGTTTTTTAGAGATTTTAGATTTTATTAGCATTTGTAGGCCGCCCTTTTCCCTGAGGGGACTCAGGGCGGCTCACATAAAATCAGGGAAGGG